TCCGCTAGATTTAGCGGGGAAATTCTTCCGCTAAATCTAGCGGGAAAAGTTTTCCGCTAGATTTAGCGGGGAAAGTTTTCCGCTAAATTTAGCGGGGAAATTTTTCCGCTAGATTTAGCAAGGAAATTTACCCATAATGCACCGCGCGGTTACACCAACGGCGACGGCGACGCCGCTCAAGCCGGAAACGGGCGCCTAAGAGCTGAGCTCTAAAACGCGAATATCTTTCCACCAGAAAGTACGTGGATTGTTGAAGTTCATGAAACTGTTCTAATGATATAATTATATTCGTGAAATCAAAGGCAGTTGGCAACCATGTGTGGGGCCCCAAAAATCTGCCTCCATGCCTCGCCGCTTGCGGCATCCAGAATACGTGGGGAAATGGCGGACCTTTTCCTTTAGAGTTAGTATATATGATCTCTATGGTGCCGATACTTAAAATAATTCATTTAGTGGCTCTAGTTTGGAGCACACGTATATATAAAGTTCGCAACGTCGACGCGGGAGGGCAACACAGCCCCACTGGCTGTGGAAACTGGCTAATACCTTCTGCAATCGCAGGCAGATGGCGGCGGGCTACATATTTCATGATGCTTGGTGATAGGACGCATAGTAACGGAGGTTGCACTGGATTGGCTGGTTATAGAGAGCGACGCCGTGACGTACCACCTAGCAACCGAAAATTGCCAGCGAAGTACCCCTTCCCGAATAACGCAGGGAAATTTCGGGCCAGAAGTGCGCATGCGCAGAACGCAATAGAAGGCCTAGCATATTCGCGTAGGCGCGGAACGCTGGGGATTTCGCGTAACGGGCTAGCGGGCTTTGCGGGAAGCTCTCAAGAGATGTCGGGCCCAGCGAGAGCGCCAGTTTCAGGATGGCGGTTACCTCGACTGGCGGAGCATGGGTGACGTGGTGTTCGCGAAGTTCAGTGTTATCTGAAATTACGTGGTTTTCAGCTCGGCAATTCTTTTCGGGACCTACCGCAGTCGAGTCAGATCGCCGTGCAGCTGAAGGAGTGCATAGTGAAGATGTCAACTGACCAAGTTGTCGCCGTGGAGTAGACATCAGCAGGTCATGGATTTTTTCCGGCGACAGCGTTGATAACAGGTGTTGGACGATTGACGGAGGCTCCGTGATCGAATTTGGCTACGCATGGTACTCGCAGCCTCAGTATCAAGCAAAAAAGCGCGCTTGACCACACAGTTGTGACTTGGAGTAATTTGAAGTAAAATTATCGGGCACGTTTTTATTTTTATTATATATTTTTAGGAGCATGGTGGTGCTGTAAGCGCGCGGAATTCTACGGCTCTCGCGCAATGAATGAAGAAGACCATGCGAGATGTTCACTCGGTATCGTTTACGGAACGCAAAACTAAAATCGGTTCGAGCGGGGAGTTTTTAGCCTACGCTATACTACTGCGTATTGAGTACGGAAAAACCAGCAGCGTTATACTAAAACTGCCTAATTTCGGCGCCGCGCAGTGGGGCACGTCGAATTTATCACAGGGGAACGCGTGAATTCACCTATAGTGCCTTCATGTGTTCGCGATTTGATCTGCTCGCACGAGGAAGAAGAGGGGTTTCGAGAATGTTCATTCCGCGGAAAAATGCCGAGAGGCTGCATCCACCATGCTTCGTTATATGTGACCACTGCGCGAAATGTTCACGCATTTCTTCGAGATTCAGCGGGGCGGCAGCAACAAATTCGGCCCATTTTTTTCTCTTTGTATAGGTAGCAAAGTATATTTGTTTGTATTTTTAGAAGGCGCATTCACCCGGTACAGCGTCGTAGAATGCGATTTTTTTTATACTTTTGCTGCGTGTTTCATGAAGGCCTGCACTTTTCCCCTCCGAACGCTAGTGGATCCACGCCGGGTCTTTGCGTCAGCATCGCGAACAGCGCAGATCAACAAGCACGACGCCAGCCAACCCCATTTAAAATAATCAGAACCTGCGCACTAGAATTTTGCCCTCATCATCGCAGTGAGTAGGAGCGAAGACGCAGACTGAGATGAGGAGTGCTGCGTCATGTGCTCGACTGGGCCTCATGTCCAATCAAGGCGTCGAAGGAATTGCCTCGGCGTCAGCGTCTCTGTGCAACGTTATCGAGGCTAGCGTACGTTCCAAGGTCCTGTAGCATCTCACTGCTGCGCGAACGCGTGGCTCTTCATGTCGAGTCTCGTAATCCGCACACTTTCTCGCGCGAAAAAAAGGAAGAAAAACAGAGCTACGCGCTGGCGCAAGCACCCTAACAAGCAATGCGGAAACTACGGTATAGCCTTTTCGTAGACGCACGATAAAGTTAACTTCGAGCTTTAAAAGTCGCTCTATCCCGCATTGTAGAAAAGCCTGATATAGTGCCGAACAATCGTCTTCGATATAAGCACGAACACGGGAGCGGTGGTGTAGCGCTACTGCCAGCTTTTTGGAGGCTGGAGCGGTGCCTTTTCAATCAAAGGGCGTACGCTCACAGTGTCCCTAAACTCTCACCCAGCGCGTTTCTGCTCCTTGCTCACAAACATGTACGTATGTGCTTTTTTCATGTGGGAGGAGGTGTTCAGGGGCAACCGGCTGTTCCAATGGGCCGTCGCTCGCGTGTTTACTTTTGTATTCATTACGACTGTATGTACACCCTGTCCCCGAAAAAAATATATTTGCGGTGTTTGTTTAATTGCAAAAATAAGCTACGAAATTTGATCAGACAGTCTCCGCTCAAATATAGCGCTAGCGGTCCAAACCAGATGTTACGCTTCATCTTATTAAAACGTTACAAGTGATTTCTGTAAATTTTAAATGAAAAAAATGGCGTCCAACGAGGCCCTCAGGTACCGGGAACGGGCCCCATTTTCAGTTGCAAGTTTCAGAAAAGCACTTACATAACTTTTGAATAAGATAACCGTTATATCTAAATCTTCGGTATCTGATACGTCCGGAGCGCTAACGCTAAATTTGGGCGGAGACTGAAAGTTCGGCAATGCGTACTTTATTTCTTTTTTTTAATGAAAAGATAAACACTATAAATTGTTTTTAGGGAAATTCTGTACGTATCTCATTCAGTGGAGCACAGTAGCGCTTCTCCTGTCCAGTCTTGTCTTTCGCGCTAACTGTTTTTGAGAACACAATGCCCAGAATGTTGGCTTCACCGCAGTAAGACGACTTCCGCGGGGAAGCCTGTAAAATGCTACTCGGCAGCGCACAAGGATGAAAGATGGGAACTATACATCGTCTCATATTACGATGGACTAAAGGCCAAAGCCACGAACCGTCACGTCCAATCACGTCCCACGCTAAACTATGACATGCTTAACATTGACTAGCGGTGGACGAAGGATGATCCGAATAAAAAATCGCCGCATCCTTTCTATAGCTTCGACGCTGCAAAGATCCTGTATGTCGTGGATTTCTTTGCAATGTAGAATTGACGAGTCACTCAGTGCTATTCGATTCGAACCATTGTCCGCCCATCACCATCAGTGATCGGAGACATGGGCACCGATAGGTGCATTGAAACGAGACACCACGCCACTTCTAAGTGGCTCGTGATTGGATCTGGAGGTTCGTAGCTTTGGCCTTTAGTCCATCGTAGGTTGAGACGAACTATAGTGAAAAAGGGAAGGACAAAGGGCAACCTTGTTGGGAGAACGTGGACCATTTAAATACCGGCTGTCTGGGAGAAAGAGGAACCGTGTTTTTCGCATGGCAAAAACGAACTGCGCATTGCCGAAAGCCCGGAATCTGCCTGAATGTATTCCGCAAGTGGCTATAAGATTTCGAAGAAGTTTACCGGCATAAAAAGTTAGAAAAAAAATCGATATCCCTCTGCGACGGTCTGTCGCGTTTATCGCGTGCATAAGCGCGATAACGCGATGATGGGCATTCATCACTACTAACGCAATTGCAGAGCAAATTAGCCTGCAATAGTGTTGCTACGTGAAACGTTCTATTCCGTGCTAAATCTATCCGAGAAACCAAACTTTACAGGTCACGTGTCATCATGTCCGGTGACGTCAATTATTCCGCTAGCGGGGAAACTTAACTTGTGTATTGTTGACGTGACTTAAAATGTTCCGCGAAATATAGCGGGGAAACTGCATTTGTACATAAGTCACGTGACATAAAATTGCGTCACATCACTTTCCCCGCTAAATATAGCGGGATAAGCGAATCGGTGTTGAGGTCACGTGACGTCAATTTTTTCGCTAAATTTAGCGGGTAAGCTGAATTTAGTGCAGGTCACGTGACGCCAATTTTTCCGCTAAACAGCAGCCCTAGCCAAGGAACCCTCCGCCCAGGTGCGTGGAGCACGGTCAGAGAGCGCCAGTACAGCGCAAACCGTATATGCGAACGCTCCTGCAGCAACCGAGATGGACGTCGGTGCAGGGGACGAGGCTACCAACAATGACTGCGACCGCAATTATTCGGCGGCAGGAGGCGCATCACCGGTCGATGAAAAACAAGGGACCCGTAAGGCCGATGAACTGAGCGGTCACGACAAACACCGAGGTCGAGCAAGACAGAATTATCGTGGTCTTCAAAGCTCAGAAAAGATACAATGTAGTGGGAATCTCTGCAGCAATGCTACAGAAGAACATGTGCAACATACCACGTTTAGATCAGCAGACATGCGGCCAATCCACCGTGTCGAAATTCAGAAGCAATGAAGCCACTAACGTGATATCGGTCGCGCTGGATACAAAAGATAAAGCAAAAACACTTCTCAACACCACGAAACTGAAGGCTCGCGACAAGAAGATCGCCATAGTGGCGCATGAAGTTCTGCCGGAAGACACATGCAGTGGGGTAGCCCATGGGGTGAATCCAAACCTCCAACCGGAGCAACTCCTCGAAGCGTTGGACGGACTGGGACGAGACATCTACTACGCGAGATGTATGGGGCAAAAGGGCCTGGCGCTATAGTACCTTTCCAAGGACAGCGGCCTCCGAGAAGCGTGGCTTTCTACGGAAAGTACATCAAAGTGTCGCTCTACAAATCCTTCACAATGAGCTGCCACAACTGCCTTGAGCTGGGGCACAAGGAAAATGTCTGTACAAAAAAGAAGAGATGCAAGGACTGTGGTTGTCTGACACAGCTGCAGCAAGTGTGCGAAAGGAAAAATTGCATCAACTGCAGACAACTTGAGCACCTCTCGACAAGCCCCAAATGCCCCACCAGGCTACAAACAAACCAGAAACTGCACCCAATGACCCACCAACCAAGAGGGCAGAAAGGGGAGGGCAACGCTCTCTCAACATTCGCCAAGGGAAGCCCGACAAAAGAAAAAAAAGCCAAGAAATGCAACCTTTCAGGACTTCCCGTAACTCCGGACGAACAGTCGCACCATAAGTCGCACAAGAAAAACGACCGGCAGAATACTGAGAGACACACGAATGGCCAGCAGCAAGTCTAGAATCCAGACTAGAAGCATGGCACAGCGAGCTAAAGGGCCCTGATGCGGAAGATAAATACCTCAATGTTAGGCTCTAGATATTCAAGCAAGAACTCCACAAACTCAGGCGCAAGAGGGAGGAAGCCAAAAGAAAGAGGGACGCTAGAAGGACAACAGCTAGTGAATACATACAAATGGCTACGGAGGTCAAAATAGCCAACAGAGATCGCAGAGAAGATGAAAGCAGCAGGAATGTTTTCAGATAGCCAGGACTCCTCCGCACGCGGAGCCGTACAAGCAGGCAAAACCGAAAGCCCCGGAAGCGCAACCCACTGCCCCAGACTGGCAAGCGGCCCTAGGCCAAGCGCTGCAAACTCAGCAGCAGCAAATTCAGAAACAGGCTCGATGGCAGCTGCAGGAGATGCAAAAGCAGACGCAACTGCAGTTGCGGCAATGGCAGGAAGAACTGCTGGCCCAAGTAATTACGATTACACCACCAGCAGCAGCCCTTCCCAAGCTAAATTTAGCGAGGAGGTTCAGTTGGTGTATAGGTCATGTGACATCAGGTTACGTGACGTCAACTTCCCCGCTAAATTCAGCGGGCGAAACTGAATTGGTGTGCATGCCACGGGACATCAATTTTCACGCTAAATTTCAAGAGGAAACTGGATTGGTGTGTATGTCACGTTACGTTAATTTTCCCGCTAAATTTAGCGGGGAAGTTGAATTTGTGTATAGGTCACGTAACGTAAGTTTTCCCGCAAAATTTAGCGGGGAAACTGAATTGTTGTATAGGTCACGTTATGTAATGTCATGTGACGTCATTGTGACGTCATGTGGCGTGATGTAACGTCACAGGCCACGGCTTCACAAAATGCAGATTCACGAAATCCGGAGCAACTGGCCACATAATGTTTGACGTTAATAAATACTTTAGGTTATATTTCATACAGCTTACCTCTCTTTTGAAACGAGAAACAACGTTGGGAATGACACTCGTTGGCTGCGAACCAAGGTTGCTGCGAGGATATGTTTTTTCACCGATTTCGCGTCTACTAATTCTGAGTATTTCCAACAAGCTTGAGTTGAGTGATTCTAGGCTTGGATAAGCTTCATTTCGAGCCTTCGAGCACAATAATCTGGACCGGGGGTGCTCGGGGTCCCAGTGGTCAGTGCGGACAACGTGAGAATGTAGGCCGTTCAGCTATGCTAGTACGTTGGATGGAAACCATTCCCCTTTGAAACAGCGAAATAAAAGCTGTCGTGCAAATTGTTGCTTTACCAGCTATATGTTTTCCAAATAACAAATAATTATCATTCCTGTCATCAGCGGGGCCATGTAACATAGCATCAAAACTTGACTGCTCTTTGTTTAAACATAAACGGGTATTTTGATATTAATGTTATGTCTTCACTTAATCAGCAATGCACTTCTATCGCTTCCAACTCTATTTTTCCGGTTCAAATGTGCCCAAAGGCACACCGATACCAGCTGCAGGATATGCTGCAAGAAAGACAGCCTTGCACTTTGGAGAGATGTTCAAATCAGTTATATATGCAGGTTGACCTCTTCGTGTATGTAAAAGAACAAACCTTCCTCTCTTTTTTTTTTCTTCTATCTCTTGCAAGATGCAGAGTTGCTTTAGAGAATAAATTTTTATATTTTCTTAATAAATTAAAAACCGTTTTTTACCCATTCAAGATGGCCAGAGCGGGACCGAAGTCTTATTTTTTTTTTTTTTTAATCTATAAACTGTTATAGACTTGAAAGCGTGCTTCGACGATGAGTTGAAACATAAATATTTAATTGGGAGGTGCGTGCTGATGACATTTAGGAGCATAATTAGATCATTTCTGGTGAATATCCCGCTCATTATCACGTTACACTCGTGCCACAACGGTAAGTTCAACACCGCACATAACATTAAATCAAAGGAATCACATGTTTTGTTTGAATATGTTTTTAACATTATTAGGGAGTTTTAGAATAATGTACGCAATCTGAGCGCACGCTAGCGCTAAATTTAGCGTTTGCGTTAGCGCCCGCGACGCACTATAGAGTTTTAGAATAGCGTTTCTCCGCCGCGACGCAAAAGCCCAAGCATCTTGCACTTGCAACGCCATCAAGATACAGTCACGATTTTTATTTCACACACGGAATGCTGTAACTTGAAAAAAAAAAAAAAAAGAAACACGATTTTTTGTTTAGAGTAACATTTTACATTTGTTTAAACGTGTGAATGCGACGCGAGCGGTCGACCGGTCGTGTCCGCATGTTTCACCTCGGCAAGACAGTACTGACCTTCGTCGATAAATGTTCGCTCGTCGCAAGCATTAAGTTGCCGGTGATCGTTGCCCACCTTACTGGGTTTTCCAAACCGAGTGCAATGTCGTCCTGTATTTGAAAATCGCAGTCGCGAGGATGCCACCGACGTCGCGCTCACGACTCCGCCGAAGCGGCCGCGGCCATGGTTCTAGGGGCCGCCATTTTTGCAACTATGCTCGTCTTGGCTTTAGCCAACTTCTCATCACGATTCCTGTTTGGAGGAGTGCAAAGACTTTGCGTACGCACGCAATTTCGAAGAAATAGCGTGCGCTAAAATCGGGCACGCAAAGCGCAAAACGGGGTTAGCGTTCGGCGCATGCGCAGTGGCGAAGACTCTATTCTTTCCGTACGCAAGGCTTTAGCGTGCGCTATTCTAAAACTCTCTATTGTGTCTAGAGAAACCCTCCTGTGTACGGGCCACTGGTCAAAATGTTCATCGAGACGAATTCGAAATGTCCATTGGGTCAAAATGCCTAAAAGGTCAAGTGAGTCGCGTGTCAAGATGTCCATCGATACGAAATGTCCAATCGGGTCGAAATGTCCAACAAGTCAAAATGTCGATCGAGACGAAATGTCCAATCGGGTCGAAATCCAACAAATCCAAATATTCACAGAGACAAAATTTCATATAGCGAGTAAAAGTGTCCATCGGGTCGAAATGTCCGCCGAGTCAAAATTTTCAGTCGGTTCCTTTTGTATTTATTCGCAACTTCTGGAAACTCGGCAAAATATATTCCTAAACAGGATTGAACTCTAAACCCAAAAAACTAATGTGTCTGAGAGCTCCAAAACTACAAAGTGTGCTAAAAATAAAGTGGTATTTGAAACTTTATTTTTCCACATACACGTTCCATGCCACCCTTTTCTCGGCGTTTGACCAGTTGACCCAGTGTCGAAGTGTCCTATGACGAATTCCCCTATGTGACCAATATCCCTGCTAGGAGTAACCTTTTACGAACTGTCTTTCAACGAACGATTCACCTCCTCTGGTTCTCCAAGTAGTATGTAGGAAATTCAGTTTAAGGTTTATTGCATTCAGTGGCGTAGGATTTTATTCCTCTGGGGGGAGGGGGGGGGGGGGGGATATCGACAGCCCTCCCCCCCCCCCCTTCCCCGGCCCCAAAATACTGACCCCCCAACACCGTCTTTATGTCTGTCAAGATGACTGCTAAATGCAAACAGCTAGTTTCCTTCGCTTAGAGCATTCCGTTTTTTTCCCTTTTTGTTATTTTTCAGCTTACTTTGAGATAGCTGGGACACCCTATATATGCATTCAAAGACAATTGCTTCCGCCAACGTAGATTTATTTGACGACGTTGAAAGCGGGAACCGCTCTTCAGGTCTTGACTGTAGAGTGACGCCAGGGCTTGCAAGCCCTGGAGAGGCGTTCTCTCCAGGGCTTGGAGAGGGCGACTTTTTGATTTTTCTATTTAGGGCAAAGGGAAACTGTTTGCGAAAAAATGAAAGAATAAAATAATAATAATAAAGTAAAATGGAGAAATACAGTATTTATATAACGAGAGAACTTGGTTACAGGGGGTTGTCGCGCTTCTGCGTGTTGCCGCTCGCGGCAACCAAACGTCGACGTGTTGCGCCTCAGCGCCAAGTGCCCACCGTGCCCGGTGGGTGCTCGAAGTGCTTGCCGCGCAAGACAAAGTTACACGGACCGGCGGACCGCGGGAGATGAACGCGGGGGTCCGCGCACGAGTCCGTTCCAACTCAACTTCTCCTGGTTTGCAAGGGGGTTAAAAGAGCGCGCCGACACTAGGCCTGATTAATCTAAGCATTATACAATCTTATTGGTCCCGGTGCCAGCGAACTTCCCACCAATCTCAGAGAGGCCGTGGAGGCTCATCTTTTCCCTTTCCGCCGGATGTAAACAATGCCCCGAGGGCATTCCCCAATATCCCGACCCAGTGACCTTGCCCGCAAGAACACTTCTCACCCCCGCTTGGGGGACGGCGACTTGCTCTGCGATACACCGTGCTCTGCGGTTAGCAGAACTCGCGACACAAAGCACAAAGACCGATGTCGCCTTCCGAAAAGTCGTCGAAGCTGGATGAGACATCAAGGAGCCCCTAATTGGAAAGCACCAAGGCTGGTGGGGTCGAAAAGCTATTACCTCTCGATGGGGATCTTTCCCGCCATCCCTACACAGGGGAATAGAGGAGATATCCATGATAGTGTATGCAGGCCGCAGGCGCCGGCTTTTTACTTTTTGTCCCCATGTTCTCGGAGTTGGTCGTCCGCGGTTTCCTCACACTTTGCTTTACTTCGTAATCTTTTTTCTGGAATTTCACAGACGAAGTTTGTGCCGCGATTCGGTGGGTAACCAGTCGTAGCAAAAACAGAGCGACGTACTTGCCCTTAGCCAAGTACGTGGTTTGGCGGAGCTAATCTACAGCGGGAACACAAAGGGGAGGGGGGGGGGGGGGTAGGGCGCAGGCATTGTTTAGTACGCACGCACGGGGGCTCAGCATATTGCCCGGCACCCCAGGATAATGTCAGCGGGTGCTCAAGCCCCCATTGCACCCCCCCCCCCCCCCCCCTCCGGTTCCGGGTTCCTCGGCTAGCGCTTCGGCGTGCTAGCTTTCGCGCCAAGGCTTTGGCCAACCAGACTGTCCTCGGATCTTCCGATTCCCGGACAGGACTTTGTTTCTCCCGCTTCCGTTCCTCCTTTACTGGCCCGAGCCGC